AAACTATCAAATCTGCGCATATGTCAGAGCATCTATGTACCAAGTTTCATTAAAATCCAATGAGTGGTTGTTTAGATATCAGTGGACCAGTCATAGAACAGCTAAAAATTAGCTAATTATCATGCAAATTAGGTAATTAACGAGCATGGATTTTTACCAAAACTAATCAAATCTGCGCATTGGCCCAGAGCATCTATGCACCACGTTTCATCGAAAACCGATGTATGGTTCTTGAGATAGCAGTGGAACAGTCGGACACACATACACACATACACACAGACACACTAACTGCAAAGACTCCCATTATGTGCTTCGCACATGGGAGTCAAAAATTGCGCAAAAGTGGGGGGTGGGCGCTTGCCCGGGCATGGGCGCTAACGCGGTCGAGTACGGTATTTGCATATCGGCTATACCCAATTGCGTTCATGCACAGATGGAAACAACAGATAGCACAGGGTAAGGAACACCCAAACTTGTTAAGAATATACAAATCTTCAGTCCTTTTAATTATGTTTACTCTGTACAGTAACCACAGTAACCAGATAGGTATGTGTTAGGTCTATGGTTACATGTATAAAACAATAACAATGCAAATTCAGAAAGCACAGATTGCAGAATAACAGAGTGTTCTAGAAGCATAAAATCTCATCATCAGTCCATTTCTTTTTTGAGAATAATGTGTCTGAATATGCTTATGCCGGAAATGGCATACAGAAATGAATAGTTATGAATATAATAGTAAATTTTTCACATGGACATTGAATACAATGGTGTTTTGAGTGCTTAGCCTAAGCTGAGTGTTAATGCACACTTTGTTAGTTTGTGCTTGTACGTGCTTTTTTAAGGCTATATTAAGCAATCGCGTACGGTCTCATAGCACAAGCTAATGTTTTTGACCTCTTAGCCTATGCTAAGGAGCTGTGCACAAACGCAACTGATGGCAACTATTGGAGCAAATAAAGTATTGTAGATTAAACAAAAATCAAAATAAAGAACAAGTCTTCTCTTCATTGTAAGATACGTAAACATTATTATTGAACATGCATTGGTTTTAATTAGAGCAGGGCTTGAACTTCACTGAGAACTAAAGGCAATTTCCTTGATGCTCGAGAAGTTTGCCTTTGTGCCGTTCAAATAGTACAGGAATGGCAATTTTGACTCGAAAATGGGTGTCCTCAGAATGATGAAGTTCAAGCCTGTCTCAACAGGCATAACCAGACCAATAATATTTTCTCACCTGAGGTTGGCCCTGGTTTTGATTCATGGCATTTAATAAAGCAGAAATGCCACCCGAATTGACAATAGCAATTTTCACATTATCATTGCCAGCAATAGCTTTCAACACTCCGAACACTTGCTTCACAATAGTCTGAAAACACAGAAGATAAAAGATTATTGCAATTTACAAATAACGAATCATGAATTATGGTTCAACAACATTGTAATCCAAGATGAAATGTGAGTCACCAATAATGCAGCAACTATTTTTTTTTAAATATTACTGTCATTTGTGTAGAACGGGAGTACATATTTCGAAATATGTCGTCATTTTGAATATATTCTGCAATTCATGATTTGATCTGTGATTTGGGGATTACGCTCACCCAAAAATAAATATTACATTGTAGTAGCGCATATGCTTACAATATCAGAGATGCATCAATGGACAAAATAAAATGTTAGTGATCCGGTATATGCAATTTCTCTACAATTTACTAGAGCAAATAAAGTATCATATGCCAGGAGACTATTCCCAGCAAGTTACAAATAAAAGTTCATCTTGATACAGAAAATCAATGCCTGGGTCTACATGACAGGGCTGTGTGAGCATCTCCCTATCATTAAGGCAATTTAATACATCAACCAGAATTTCAATCTTTAAATTAGTGTGACTTCATATTTTTTAGTTTATGGCACCTATTCAGGAATACGCTGTTTATTGTGACAAGCGTAAATGGGTAAACTCCATTTCGACAATGAGCTGTTATCAATGTAAAAAGTGTTAAATACTCCTTTAATAATCTTCCAATCTTGTTTTTTTTAAAAAAAACATATGGACATTTTTAATTCAAATCAATGCTTGTAATTAAACATTGATAAATCACCAATATTCGGAAATTCCCTGATGCTTTTCACTCTATCACCCAGCATTCTGACTGCTTTGTCAGACTTGTAATATATATTTGTCTTCATTTAATATTACTGTGAAATCTGTATTAGAAGCAACAGCTTCTATTAAAATTGTATATTGCAACAGAGGGGATGCAGCTTCTAATAGAGCATCTACATATATGACAACTAGTAAATATTTGGTTTTCAATTGTTCAAAATGAATGTGTGCAGCTTCCAATAGGGATGCAGCTTCCAATAGGGACGCACCTTCCAATAGGGACGCACCTTCCAATAGGGACGCACCTTCCAATAGGGACGCACCTTCCAATAGGGACGCACCTTCCAATAGGGACGCACCTTCCAATAGGGACGCACCTTCCAATAGGGACGCACCTTCCAATAGGGACGCACCTTCCAATAGGGACGCACCTTCCAATAGGGACGCACCTTCCAATAGGGACGCACCTTCCAATAGGGACGCACCTTCCAATAGGGACGCACCTTCCAATAGGGACGCACCTTCCAATAGGGACGCACCTT